CATTCAACTATATATAGTATATACCACCAATCCTTATTTAAACTGGTAAATACAATTCCCCCAAGGAGATAGGACTGCGGAGTAGCATACAGACAAGGTACTCGCTCAGGAAAGGGCCATTTGAAAGAGACACCGTGCTCCAGAGCCAAATGCAACAGGGATAGCTTCGAGAGCTTCACTTGCTTTGTGCTCTTCTGTTCATTCTGTACATGTCAATCGCTTCAACACCACACTGACCTTTTTCCTGAGACTTTTGAGGCCATACTGAAAATCTTTAAGCGGTGCCAACTCCGATTTACAATGCTCCCAGTTCCTCAATATGTACGACAGCACTTTCTTCCCTTCAATCAGATTCTCCACATGGATCTTTTCCTGCACAGCACAAAGCAACCATGTTGCAAACATCCACCCTTTAGCTGCCGCCGTACTTTGCACTATTTTATACGTCGCTTCACATCTGGCCTCTTCCAGAGTTCAAAAGCTGTTTTCATGACAAAAACCCAGGCATCACCAAGTGATGTTGCTGCAGCGAGGAGACAAGAACCCCCCCAGATTTGATGCGGGAAGGGAGACAAAGGAAAAGAACATGTGACAGGAAGCATCAAGAAATGAAGGAATGTTGAAGAGGGAAGAATAGCGAAGTGAAAAAAGTTGAAAATCAGGGCACACACACACACACACACACACACACACACACACACACCAACCCGCCCACCCACCCGCCCGCCCACACACAGGTTCCTGACTCGCACTTCCTTTACAAACAGACTGCAGCTAAGTGTGGCTCGGTTTTTGTCCACAACCGTTGAACCTTTCGTCAGCAAGGCGGGATGGTTGGTACGTTCTCCTCCCCCCCCACCCCCCCCAACCCCCACCCCCCCTTTTCTCTTTTCCACACACCCCCGTTGTGTCTATGTGGACGCCACGTTCTACACGTATGGAGAAAACTCAGCAGTAGACCCTTTCAACACCTCCTGAATACAACCCCCAACCCAACCCCCAAGAAATACTGTCAAACCAAACCCCATCAAACACAAGACCTGGAGTCCATTACTTTGGACGATACCCGAAAAAGCATGGTAGAGTGCACCGCCTCCCTCCCCAAACTTATCCTTTACCAAGTCACCACCCTTTGAAATGGTAGCATGGTTAATCAAGTGGGATTAGCAGACATTGTTTCACTACAGTCCACAAATGACAGGAGTGTTGTACCTACCCATTGTCTATAGCAGTCAGGATTCTGAGATAAGCACCAGACGGCATTCTTGCAGCCCTCCTCCACAAGTGTTTCATTGTCTGTTGCAAGGCAAAATGATCAAACCAACAGTCACCAAACAAAAGGTTAACGTATCTACAAATCTTCCATGTGTAATCGCACAGGCTATCCACATAGCAAGACCAAAACGAAGACAGTGGTAAACATAAGAACGAGAAGACACAACCACAGGGTGCAGAGGAGGTGGTATTCCCTGGTGACCGATGGTTGATCCTCAGGGAGGTCAAATCTCAATCCTATTCAGGTTTTTGAGAGCCCTTGCAGCACAAGCTAAAGAGAGGAGAGAGTGTGAGAGAGTGGGGGGCATGAGGAGAGAGGTGAAGACAGGGGAAGACACGGGAAAAGACACAGGAAGAAAGGGGAAGACAGGGGGGAAGAGGGGCAGAGGAGGGGGAAGGGGGGAGGGGGAGAAAGGGGGAGACGGAGAGAGAGGGACAAAAATGGGGAGAGAGGGAGAGAGAGGTGGGGAAGGGTAGGGGGGAAAAGGGGGAAGGAGGAGGGAGACGTGGGGCCTGACGGGGTAGGTGGGGCAGGTGGAAGGGCGGATGAACAGGAAAAAAGAGACAAGCAATTGCAGACAGACAGAGACCAGGATAGAGACACCAACAGGGACACAGACAAAGCAACAAGGAAAACCAAGGCAGGGAGAAGCAGAGGAGGGGAGAGGGTGGGAGGGGGAGAGGGGGAGAGAGGGGGAGACACAGAGTGAGGGACAAAAAGTGGGGGAGAGGGAGAGAGAGGGGGGGCTGGGTAGGGCAGAAAAGGTGGAAAGAGGAGGGAGACGTGGGGCCTGATGGGGTAGGTGGGGCAGGTGGAAGGGCCGATGGAAGAAAGAGACAAGCGATTGGAGACAGACAGAGACCAGGATAGAGACACGAACAGGGACACAGAGAAAGCGACAAGGAAAACCAAGGCAGAGAGAAGCAGAGTGCGAGTGCGAGACGTGAGACAAGTTACAGCGAGACAGCGAGACAGACACAGACAGACACAGCCAGTGCATCATGAAGTGCAGGGAGTCCGTGCATCATGAAGTGCAGGGAGTCCGTGCATCATGAAGTGCAGGGAGTCCGTGCATCATGAAGTGCAGGGAGTCCGCTATCTTAGATGGTGCACACACAAAGTTTCCCACAAATCCTGTTATGTACTTCTGCAGAGGAAGGGTAAGAACTCCTCTTTGACTGAAAAATGAGACGCAATCAAGACGAAAGGAATCGAAAAGGACTTGTAAATTCTAAAAACTCCAGATCAGCACGGAGATCAGGATTTGAGATTACCTTCGCCAACAACCGATAAGCTAAGAGGGAACAACTGTGCAGCAGCAGCTTTCAATGTTTTGCTCCGCGATGCGCCTGCTAACGCAGCCTCCTTCACAACTGGATAGATTGCAAGGAACCTCTCTGTAGCCTGCACCATTCATCAACGCAGAGAACAAACATGACTCTTCACCGTGTGTTTCTTCAAGGTAGTTAAAATCTTGCAAGAAACGCTTCTCTGTATATGCATGTGTGTGTGTGTGTGTGTGTGTGTGTGTGTGTGTGTGTGTGTGTGTGTGTGTGTGTGTGTGTGTGTCCGTGTGCGCGCGCACGTGTGTGTGTGTGTGTGTGTGTGTGTGTGTGTCTGTGTGTGTGTGTTAGATTTTCCCCACAACAGCCCCAATTCCACCCAGGTGAATAGATTCAGATCAAAGCAGTCTTTGTCCTATTGCAGACAACGAGAGCATTTGAGATGTCCAACATACTAGTGCAATTTTATAATTCGTATGTGTGCGTGTGTGTGTGTGTGTGTGTGTGTGTGTGTGTGTGTGTGTGTGTGTGTGTGTGTTCATATGACTGCACCAGCATGTAAGTGTATGTGCATATGTACATATGGATGATTAGAAAGCCACCATGTACAAGTCCTTAATTCCTCTGGACACATGGACAATCTCATAATCAGAGTGCAACAAGGTAAAGCATCCTGTGCCCCAACAAAGACAAGGTCAACAGCTATCATCAGATACGTATCCAAAGGAGAGACAGCATAAAAGAGGAGAGAGAAGTGATGCCCATAGACGACATTAAACAAGGATATCATAATAAACGAAACCCATGCTCTTTGGCCTACACAGATAATCCCCACGTCCTGCTGAGGTAGGTAGGGCGTACAGCTGACAAATACAGTCCAAAAATGTGTCACACCAGCCACAGAGGTTCAAAACACAAAAGACTGTCTCGCAAAAAGCATGCTCGAGAGACAGAGTAGGGCACTCACATTGCTACTTCTTTAACAGCAGGGGTTGTGCACTTACCTTCGTTTGTGCTGTTTCTGACGGGTATGCCAATCGCATAATCAAGTCCAACGAGGCCGCAGGAATCAATCGCTCTCCCTTTTTTGAAGCCCCATTCATCAACATAGGTTTTGCCTTCTTTAAGTTGCCTACAACCATCCTGCAAAGTTAAAAAAAAAAGTAATAATAAAATCAGCCATTGACATCACCATAGATCATAACGCTGGAAATAAAGACGCCCCCGCAATCCGTCGCAAGAATCCGACAGAGATAGCATCCAGCTGCGACACCATCGCCACAGGGGGGAGTTTCACAAAGACCTAATGATATCGTGCAGAAAGATTTTAACAGAATGCAGAAGCAATCCTCTATACCATTGCATTACAGAGCTAGCCATGCACACCATGCTACCAACCTATACCTCACAGCAACTGGGCAGATGTTTCCACGGGTGTCAACGAAGAAGAAACATAACAATATCGCAAATAATAACATAGCCCATGACCCATCATGACCTGTCCACAAGAGCACTTCACCCACCCCCATCCCAAAACCCTTCCCTTTCACAAGAGGGGTGACATAACATACCCTTCAAAAAATTGGAGAGCAAGGTCTCGCGACAAAGGTGTGGCAGACTTGTTGCCAGCAAGTGTAACCAAGTTCCTCGCCCAAAGAAACACACCCGACACAAGATCCCCGTGAGCCACCTGCACACATAGGACACCAATCACAGTCAGTCAGCCAGCTTCCACCAGTGTTGTTCTAGATACCAGGTTGGAACCAAGGGTCAATTAGTGTCCACAAGCACTGAACCTGCAAGGTCGTTGAGACAAGCGACAAGGAAGGAGTGGGTCGAACAGCGAGTCATCATACTCTTTGTGGACATAATGGAATAGAAGAGTCAATTCCTGATGCATCAAGCTCACCGCTCTCCTTTTTCCTCGAGAAGGTCGAGCCCCTACCATCAGTGCATCCATCCGACTCCTTCAAGATTCAAACTCATGGCCTGTCTATCTACAATTGCATATGAACATTGTGCGTACAAGTTAGCCACATGGGCTGGGTTGGGTTCAGCCTCAAGAGTTCCGCCTCAACTACCTTCGTCCCCCGTACCATCAGTGCATCCATCTGATTCCGCCTGTCTATCTACAATTGCATATGAACATTGTGTGTACAATTTAGCCACATGGGCTGGATTGGGTTCAGCCTCAAGAGTTCTGAACTCCTCCGCCTCAACTACCTTCGTCCCCCGAATACAACGGTACGGTCATTATAGCTGTATTTTAGGCATCTATCAGTCTAGATACAGCTGTAATGACCGTGCCAACGGGGGAAGAAGGTAGAGTACCTATGAAAAGAAATTACGAAAGCCAACAGAATGGCACACGTTCTTCGGACTCCATAATACCCGTCATGGCCAGCAGCATGCACAAGGGTCGACTCTAACCTGCTCTTGAACGAAACACACAAGGAATGTTAGGGAGGAGGAAAGAAGCCTTAACTCACCAACAGCCTGATGCCATTACTTTTCTTGTGCTTTTCTCGCAGCTTAACCTTTAAAAGACCAGTTCGCCGACTATGAAAAAAAAAACAGAGGCTTGTGAACCTTGGAAGGTAGCTTCATCAACTCAGGCTCATGTGAACTGGTGGTTTAAACCACAAAATACACGGCCCCAGCCTTGCAGACCGAAACTTGTCGCCACAAGAAAACTAGGCCGAAACATCAAACGCCGGGCCCGCTGTTGATAAATTCGATCGGTGATTCGGCGATTCGGTGGTCGTGTTTTCGTGTTGCGCCTCTAGAATTTGAGGTGTCAGGGCCGCGGCCCAGGTGCCCATGTACTGGTGCTTTAAGCTACCAGATCTACGAAGCATGGACCGGGTATTGGACGAGTCACAGGTTTAAACCACCAGTACCTTCAAGACTCTTTTTCCCGACATGGATTTGCACTGTGATATTCAGAAAGTGATCAAAAGCATTCTGTGAAAACTCCAAATCACAAAAGGATGGGTGGAACCCCACGAATAAAATGGAGCCATCGAACCTAGGCCCTCTTCTATCTCCAGGGGCTCTTACCACCCTGGAGGCAGAAAACCGGGCTCGAACCGATGTTGACCAAAAAAAAAAAAAAAAAAAAAAAAAAAGATGGAACCTTTCCCAGTTGAGCCCCACAGACTACATCCCCTCAACAAATCCCGAGTAACTGCAGCGTCATAGCGGTTTCAACTTTCGACACATAATAATACATACACCATTCCATTAAACAGTGATAATAAACATCATAACAATCTGCATTACCATTCATCGGGCAGAGCACTCACGCATCATACATCATTCGAGAATGCTACAGAACAAGCTGTGTACAGCACAATCCGCTGGGCAGAGCGTTTTTAACACGTTAGCTACGTCCCGACTCGCCCCCCGAAACCACTGGGCGTAGACCACAGACCATCACAGCTTGTGAACACTGCTTGTCCAATGACTCCACACAATTCGCGTTCAGAACGTCTCTTTCGTCTGTCTCTTTTCTTTTTTTTCTTCTTCTTTTGCATGCTCGCATGCATGCATGCTCGTTGAACTCCTCGGTCCGTGTTTCAAGACGGGCAGGATAAGAGGAATCTTTCTTCTGTTCCTTTTCATTGTTTTCCCTCTTTTCTTACAAGGCTGACCCCAGCTTTTGCCAACCAATTGCACCCATCGAGCAGCCCCAGGAAATGAGCGCTTGCTTCATACCACTTAACACTGTGTGTGCTGCTCGCTCAATGCAAAGCAAAGATGAAGCTAAACATGTGGCTACCCGGTTACGGATGAACACCAGAAAAAAATACCACGCACAGACATCAAATGTACAGATAGCCGATGGCAAAGGAGATGCAACCTGCAGCATTTTCCTCCATCCCCCTCATTTGGACTCACCTGCGTATACACCCAAGCCAAAATGCGCGCCTCGTCCTGCCCCTTAAACAAGGGATCTGTCCTCAGCATATCTGCATGCTGGAGCAACACATCTGGTCTCTTCCGCAGTAGCAAAGACAAGATAACAATGATCCCAACCTGCCAAATGCCACACATTGCAAAATAAGAAACTGGAAGACATAGAATTGAGCATACCATTCAAAAAAAAAAAAAAAAAAAAAAGAATTAAGCAGACCATCACCATCACCATCACCATCACTACCACCTAAGTTGTAGCCTTTGATTTTTACTCAGTTTTCACAACTTTTCAGTCTTTCTACCTGCCACTGCTCAGTTTCCAGTCATTCTGCATGCCACTGCTCGATACAAAACCGATGCACAACCGTATACCGCAAAATCAAATCTCCCAAGCAATTCTCAATTTCCCACAAGTCACTGCCCAGTACAAAACCTTCCACAAAGTGTATGACGCAAAAAGCCAATCTCTCCCAAACTGCAGTTGCCTGACGCATCAATGAAGACCAGAAATCGGAGATCTACTACTATCCAAATCACCCCTTGTGCAATCTCTCTCTCTCTCTCTCTCTCTCTCTCTCTCTCTCTGTGTCTGTGTGCATGTGTGTGTCTAAGAGAGAAAGAAAGACACCTACTGCCCTCCCCCTCACCTACTCCTCGGCAACCACGCACACATGCATCATCCCCTACCTTCCATAATCCCTCCACCATCCACCCACATCCAACTGCTGTGACCTTGACTACCCCACACCATCTCTCCAATAGAATTTTCAAAATAAAAAAGGAAAGACAGCTGTCATCAACGAACACAAACATGAAAACAAAAGACAACTTGTCACATCTACAGCGGAAACAAGAGGTTACAATTGGCAGTGGAGCGCAGGAAATACCATACCCTCAATTTGCCAGTGCCTGGAGGACCACTTGCACCCTTTTGTCCTTTTGCGGGTTGTGGAGGGTGGCTGTCTTCAACAATCGCCCTGAGAAGCATCATTACGAACTTGCTGAGCTCATCAGCAGGCTGATGACATAGCCAGTCATACGTCACCTTCACAAGCTGCTCTGGAAGCTGGCTGAATGGCATCTGTGCACACAGCAGAAGAGATCCATTAACAATGATTTACTACAAGTCCCAATTCTATACCCGTCCACCTGGAAGAGCTCTAAGCTCAACCAAAAAGAGAAAACACTTGGGCAAAGTAAAATCCGATAGTGGTCAGTCTGGCAAAACTGAATATTCCAGAAAACAAGTCTGCACAATAACAAACATTGAAATCATAGAGCAGTCCGAAGAGGTCAGCGCTGCGTCCTTGCAGCAGCAGCTCACTTCCTTCATCCCTACCACTTTCAATCTGCTATCCTCCCCCCATCCTCCCCCCCCCCTCTCGTCCTTCCGCCCCCCCCCCCCCCCCCCCCCCCCCCCCCTTCCCGTCCTTCCGCCCCCCCCCCCCCCCCCACCCCCCTCCCCCAAAAGCCAGGACATTATCGCCATCCAGGCAGTAAGGCGTTCAGGCGCACGATACAATCAAACCACGATTCGCTGCAAGTTTTTTTGACATAAAATATAAATCATTCCAGAGGACAGAGAACAATGTCCAACAAACAGCTGCAACTAACTGATGCATTCAATTGCCAGAGGATGTCTTTCAGAAGCCAGGCATACGGCACTAGCATCGTCAGAGCCCCGCATTCGAGTCAGTGTAAATGGGGAACCAATTGGAGGATTGTGTTGGTGTTAAATTTGGCTCATGGGACACACTTCTCTTGAGGTGGAGGCCCAGTTCATTGTCAAACCAGGAATCACCCGGTACCGTGTGTTATCATCCATAGGACCGTGGGAGCATTTCGCCACTTGATTCTCCATTTCTTTTGGCCGCAACACTATTCGACAATGATCACCATTTGGGTACCTCTATCTACATGCGAAATTCTGGAAAGCATGACCATTCCACAGCAATCACCATCTGGGTACCTCTACCTACATATGAAATTCTAGAAAGCATGACGATACACAGCAACACAATGCAACATACTTTAGCCTCAAGGTTCTCCCTCGCAAAGACTTCCTCCTCAAGGAAAATAATTGAAGGTATCGCAATGTAAACGAGTCCAGACCAAAGAAAGGGAAGGGAAAACTGCATCTGCACCCTGTTTAAAGATGGGAATTCCCTTCATACCCAGTACAAATGCTCAATTTGCATCTATACCTGGGATTCAGCCTGTGGAAATTATATCTACCACCAAATTGCAGTTATACCCAACTGCCAGAATGTTCAAATCGCGGACATACCCAGGCAAATTGTGCGCATACCCAATTTGGCCTGGCTGGTTTCTGGGCATGAGCATAATTTTCTGTTCCTGTGCCGATAGGCCCTGCGGGAGCGCGTACAGGTATAATTTGGCACAAGTGAAAACCAGGATATTACCTTAAACCACCAGTACACCCGGGCCTGATTTCCCGAACCGACCCACCCCCTGCGCACCAGTTTTTTCAAAGCTGCTACTAGTGGGTCCCAGTGGCGGGAATGTGTTTCTGGTACCGGTACCACAATTTGTTTGGAATACAATGTTGGCCTCGGGATTTTCCGTGCGACCTCCCTCCAAAGTACGGAACTAACTTTTGTTTATTTTTCTTTTTTTTCGGTTCTGTTTTCGGTGAGGTGCCCATTGTTGGCGTGTGCCTCCTCTGCCGATGCGGGCAACTCCCTCCACCTCCTCATCGCCCCTGCTTCGGCTCTCGACCAACCTCTTGCCCCGAAACCTCATCGTGCCATGTGGCCCAGTTGCCATGCCCGCATCTCCCCGGAATCTACGTGACGCCGTGTATGGCATCCGCGGTGCAGGGATGTACAGAACGCTGCTGCGAAGAAAGCACACTAAACCGCTCGCGTGATTCTGAGAATAACAAAAAAAACAAATGGCAGTGTATCTTTCCATCTTCTCATGGAGGATTCTGCCTGTACCGAGGCTATTGTGAAGAAAAACTGCTGATTCCTCCGCCATTACATGGAAATAAAAACTGCTGATTCCTTTCCCATGACATGGAAAGATGCATCGCTTTTTTTTTCTTCTTTTAACTTAGGAAAGACACATCGCATTTGTTTTTTGTTTTTTACTTGTTCTTTTCTCTCCAATTGCAATTAAGGAGCCAACCTCCATGAAAACAGGTGGCTATCTCATCCATATATCGCCTCTTTTTGCTTTCTTTTTTTTGTGTTTTACGTTACAGCGCGCTGATAGTGTGCGCTTGGGGGTCAGTGCTCATTGGTTGGTTGTTTTTCAACACACCGACTGATAGGCCTTAAAAGAGAGAGAGAGAGAGAGAGAGAGAGAGAGAGAGAGAGAGAGAGAGAGAGAGAGAGAGAGCTGTCTCTTATACACATCTGGTAGTGGCAGCTAGCGCTGCCATAGCTGTAGCATAGCNGAGAGAGAGATTGTGAGGGAGAGTGTGGCACGGTAGTCCTCATCTTCTCCAAACTGTTGGGGTTCAACCTCCTGATGAGTCCGTGAAAGTCTGACGAAACAGTCGGGCAGTCATGTTTTTCTTTGAGTGTGTAGTGACTGTGGGCCTTGCTTTACTACTCTCGACACGTGCAAAACGAGAGAGAATCTTCCGCTAGACCATGGAAAGATAAATCGCCATGTTTTTCTTCTTTTGTGGATGTCGAGAGTAGTGGAGCGAGTCCCAATGACACACACACACGCACACACACACACACACAGTGCAAGAGAGAGAGAGAGAGAGAGAGAGAGAGAGAGAGAGAGAGAGAGAGAGAGAGAGAGAGAGAGAGAGAGAGAGAGAGAGTTGGGCTCACAAAACTTCTGGAGGCCGCCAGCAGTCCGAGCCTGCCCCAACCTCTGATTTTGTTGCTTGTGGCGACAAGTTATTTTGCTGCATGCCTGGGGCCGTGTACTTGTGGTTGGACAGGGTTTGGATGCACATGCAAGTTGGGCGTTGGGACTGGGTATACAGATACAACTTTCCGAAAAAAGTAAAGAGAAGCCAGGTAAGCTCCTTTCTCCTGCTGCTGCTTTCCTGCTGATTGGTCTGAATTCTTGAAACCTTTTCGGGGGTTGCCAACCCTAGGCAAATACAAGGACGGTACAGAAGGGATTTTCCAAAACCTGCGGAGTTCCGTTTCCACATCTGCCTAGGTTGCAGGCCCAAAGACCCAACAAGCCTTTGGTAATCTGGATTCGACATCAAGGCAGGAACACCCAGATGACACAACATTCAAAACCCCCAATACAATCAGGAAAAGAAGTATGTCACGAGGTACCCAATCTTGACCCGATAATGGAAACGCTAGTCAAACGCTAGTCACTTCGCTCCTGAGGCTAGTCCAGAAGCCACGGTTCATCTTCTCACCTTCGACCAACTGATCACGGCTCATATTCAACAGACTAAGTGGGGGTGGGTATATTCAACAGAAATAAGTGGGGGTGGGTATATTCAACAGTATTCAACAGAGCTAAGTGGGGGTGGGTACATTCAACAGTATTCGACAGAGCTAAGTGGGGGTGGGTATATTCAACAGAGCTAAGTGGGGGTGGGTTACCAAGAAGAAAGTCGCCAAGACTTATTACTGCTGCACAGTTCAATTGAATACGGCACCGTTGATTAGATAAAAAAAGGAAGACACTTTCTCGAAGAGAGAAAGATGGACTGGCAGGTCACATCACACCATGAACGAATAAACTTAAAACTTGGGAACAAGATACATAAGCCTCCTTGCTCCTCCCTGATTAACTAACCACGTATGTGTGGGACCAGCATACATAGGTAGCTTCCTCTGATCTATGTGCAGAATTGTGTGGAGGGGCCCATATGAAATAGGGGTGAGTTGGCCATCACTGAGCAGATGGTCAAATTTGGGTGTAATCCCAGATAATAATTAACAAACAAAGACCTAACCCCAATCATCACCAACATATGGAATCAAATTGTGAAAATTCAACTCATAGCCAAGACTTTTGTCGATAAGACAGGTCCACATGAAGAGTGTGTGGCAGCTGCTGGCATCTGTGGCAGTGCCAGCCAACCATGGTTGCGTTAGAAAAAACAAATCAGCTGGCCGCGGCAAAGCCGTGGGCCAGAGGCAAGGATGACATGAACCGACGAAGGCCGGCCTTTTTACGCAGGGAGGGTACACTGCGGCGGAGCTGCAGCACAGAAGGGGAAAAAAAACACGGCCAAAAGAATGCACAACCTGGACGTGGGCGTGAGCAACCCTGTGAGGGGAGCAGAAGGCACGGACGGCCAGATTGTGAAGTTGTGCCAGCGCCGAGCGGGGAGGATCTACCGGGGGCGGAGGGCGGCAGACTAAGAAAATAGGAAAAAAATATGTCCAGCGAAAGATTCATTCTCCAGCCAGGCCAAATAGAGGGACAGCGGTCCCTGGGCAAGGATACGGACCTCGAGGGTCCCGCTCCACTATTCTCCACAAAAAATATGGCGGTGTATAGTTCCATGTTCCAGCAGAAGATTCATTCTTATTTTGCACGTTTGGAGAGTAGTCGAGCGAGGCCCATAGTGCCATATTTTTTTGTCTTCTGTGTGTGTTGTGCCGCGAGTCAAGTGAGGGTCTGGCTCTTCTACTCTCCAAATGTGCAAAACGGGAATGAATCTTCTGCTGGAACATGGAAATATACACAGCCATATTTTTTGTCTTTTGTGCATGTGGATAGTGGCCCACAGTGCCATGTTTTTTTACTTGTGTGTTTTGTGACGAGAGTCGAGGGAGGGCCTGCCTCCACTACTCTCCAAATGTGCAAAACGAGAATGAATCTTCTGCTAGAACATGGAACTATGCACAGCCATATTTTTTGTCTTTTGTGCATGTGGAAAGTGGAACGGGGCCCTGAATCTACCCATGTCCCAGAAAAAGATTTGTTCTCATTTTGTACATATGGTGAGTAGCGGAGCCAGGCCCTGATACAGGATGACATGCATGAAAAAAAAAAAGGGTCACAAAAAGAAGGAAAACGACAACAAAGCCACAGCATCCAAAAAAAAAAAAAAACTGAACTCAGAAACAGCTGGCAAACAGCACGTGCACTCAAAAAAACAAAAAGAGAGCTCTG